CCTCCATCCGCTGCTGGACGCGGGCGCAATGCTGGACGCGGGCCAGGCCTGCGGTGCAGTGCTGCGGTCACTGAGACCACGTGTACCTGCTGCAGCCTCTCCCGTTTTACCTCCGCGCCCCTGACGAGCTCCAGTCCTACCAGCCCGGCAACGCTAACAGCCCAGCCCCTGCCGCGGCACACCCCGGCCCCTTTGGGGCAGCAGGCCGGGACGCGGTCCCCACTCAGGCCGTGGCTGGCAACACTGATGGCCAAGTCTTCCAGCTTCACCGCAGCGCTGCTCCCAGTCGGCACCCCACCACCTCTCCCTGCCGTCCCTCCACCCCGGTGCCGGCGGCCAGAGGGCTGGAGCCTGCTGCCTGCGCGAGGCCGCTCACCTCCTCCTCTCTCAGGGTGTCGGGTAGGCACGAAATCTCCTTCTTGAGGAACTTAATGGCATTGCCCATGCTGGCTGAGAGGGGTCGGCACTGGTTCAGGAAGCTGCAGAGAAGAAATGGGCTTAGCTGGGGGGCAGGGAGACGAACAGGGAGGGTGCAGCTGGGCTGGGGATGGTGGGCAGGGAGGCAGCACCCAGAGCACTGGGAAAGTCATCCCAAATTTGGGTGGACACTACCCCGGAGAGGTGACCGATGGACCACACTCAGCAGAGCTTCAGTCCCTCTGCTCCAGTACCAGAAGCCCTCACCTGATGTGTGGCTTCAGCTTGGCCACCAGGTCCCGTGACAGCTCCTCGTTGGGGGGAGTCGAGTAATCCCGGATCAGCTGAGACGAGAAGGAAGAGAGCGTGCGGTCAGGGCTCCTGCCCTTCTGGCCAGGCACCGCCCGTGGCCACCCTTGCCCAGGAGGCTGCAGACCAGGCGCAAGCGTGTGCCGTGCAGCTCGACACGCTTTTGCAGGGAGGGCAAAGGGGAGCTCCAGGATCTCAAATCTGCATCAGCGCCAGACCAGGAGAGCAGCAGGGCCCAGCACGGTCGGAAGGAAGGGGCTGAAGATGACCGAGCACAGGTACAGCCCCGGTAAGGGGACAGGCGGGGATGCCCGCGCCGGGTGCAATGCCCTTGCTGCCTGGCGGCCATGGGTAGCTGCTCGCATACCTGTTTGAAGACTTCCAGCAGGGCGATGCAACGGGCGTTGGAGCCGTTGATGATGCCCTGGGAGTACTGGAGGCCGAGGCGCACGACAGCCGGGTGAATGACCGTGGAGGGGATGCTGCAGGGACAAACGCGAGAGAGCTGTCAGCACTGCAGCCCAGGAACAACCAACCTGGGGCCAGGCTCCCGGCCGAACAACCCGAGGGGTGGCCAAAGAAGGGAGCCGTCCATCCTGCCCCTACTTGCTCTGTGGCCTGAGGCGTCAGGCGAACCCCCCAGCCCCTTCTCTGGTGTCCCCGCACTGCCCGGGGGCGGCTCCCCCTCGCCCCACGGGCAGGACACCCAACCCCCGTGAGCGGAAGGGTCCCCCCCTCCACCCCACGGAGCCTATCCCCCACGCAGGACCAGGACATCCCTTCGCGAGGGCCGTTCTGCAGCCAGGCCAGCTGAGGCAGAGCCAAACGACTGCCAGGGGCCGGGGCGGCCGCATACCTCATCTGCTGCGTCAGTGGCTTCTTCCGGCTGTACTGGTGCAAGTGGGAGAACAGGTTGACCTTGGTGCCGTAGTCCTGCCTGAGAGGAACCTGTAGCCGAACAGCGCTGGTGATGGCCGCCACACGGCCCTGC